AAGATGTTCTTCAGCGAAATGGTCATTTCAAAATCCAGTATTGCATGTACAATGTACCTCACGCCACAGATGTTCGGATCGGTGAGGACCTCTGTGAAGCCCCTGGCATCCTCCTCAAACCCCTTCTGGCCGACAGCGATAACAAACGTGTTGTACCCTGCGGTAAAGTAAAGGATCGTTTAAAAACAGAGACTGAAGCAAAAAAGGGGGGTCACATTGAATTTGTAAGCTGGCATTTCATTTAGAAAAAGATATGTTGTCTTCCTGTACTTCCAATGCCACTGCACTGGATCATAATCATCAAGATGACCCCGTCACGTCTGCCCCATTAAAAAACTAGTCAGTCAAGAAAGACGCACTGACTTAAATACCAAGACTTATTAAACATTTCATTAATTTTCGTCATTGGTTAGTATGTGAACAACAACAGGCACAAGTTGATTGGGTGGAACGCACAGATTTGGGACATGTATGGACTAGGTGAATACGGAAATGTATGCTGTTATCTTCAAGAGAGGATATTTTAAAAGGGTATGCATATTTAACTTAGTCATATGATCATTCCTTAGCATCCCATACTGCTGCCTTTGTAATATAGTGAAGTTTGTGACATTTTAGTGTAAATATGATACGTGCCGTACCCAGGCCTGTTGTTTCCATGCGGTGCTTGGGGCAGTGGAACGCCTCAGTTTGACTCTTCATGCAGGCAGCACACAGCAGGAAGTCACACCCACAGGACAGGGGGATGGGACCTACATTAGGAAAACAGAATTACGGTAATTATAACTTTCGTGCAAATATGATTAAAAATAGGCTGTATGTTACATTTAAGTCATTGTTATCCGATCCGTGGAATTATTTTTAGTACCTTCTATCTGATCTAAAACAACACCCAAAAGGCTAGAAGTTCAAAAGTCCACCTAAATCTTTTGTGAGATACTCACATGACTTGGCCGAGCAGAGTGTGCACTGGTTGTGAAACACTCCCACGCACTGCAGGTCACTGACCTGTTCCGTGAACCCGAGGGAGGGATGGACGATTGTACCGCCCTCTGCTGCTGCCTTGCTTATTTCCTCCTTGCCATAGGAGTAGAATTCATCCATGTGATCCTTCAGTGCACGAGCGCTGAGCACCTTCTCTTCTGTGCCTGTTCCTGGGCTGCACTCATCCAGCACATCAGCGATGATGTTCTCCAGCTGCTGCAGCATCTTGGCGCACTGCACCTTGTCACCCTGCACACTCCGGACACAGATGTTGACTGCACGGCCGTCCGGAGAGAGTTTGATCAGACCTTCCACATTCCTATCCACACACTTGGCGCCATCTCTCCACAGCAGCGGGCGAATCTCCTGCTCCCACATCAGGCGGGTCTGCACTCGGGGGAAGAACCCGGAGGAGAACATGTCGGTTGAGTCGGCGCACTGGACTTGCTTCCCAAAGTAGACCGCCTTTGGCTCTTGGGTTAGTTGCCAAACCTGTCCAGGCATGGTTTGCGTCAGCAGCCCTGGGAAGATGAAGGTCTGTCCGTCATAGGAGTGGCAGAGCTGGAACTCTTGCAGCAGGGTGATGAGGAGATCCACGTCAGCAACGTCTTGGAAGACGCGCTGGATCTCCTCCCTGGTGACAAAGTCTTCGCTCTCCGGGCGACTTCTCCTGAGGTGGATGGGGAAGTTCTCTGGTGCCATGGTCGGGCCGAAGACGTCTGTGCAGAGCCAGTTGGGCTTCAGGACAATGATGGGATCAGAAGAACTCGGACAGGTGAAGATGATCTTTAAAACAAAAGTTCAATCATTCTAAATGAAAGCAATTCTAAAGGCAGTAGGTCAGTGCAAACTGGACAACCAAATTATACAAAAGGCTATGATTTAATTTAAGCATTGGAGTGGAAGTATGTTGTGCACAGATTTGTGTTAAGTTATAAAACTACAGGAACTGCTTTTTTGTTTGTATAGTCGAAAGCTTCTCACAAGGTGGGATTTATCTGCAGGTTATTCAGTACAACAGCTAGGGTAGCCCAACTAAGTCGTAGACAGGGTCAACCCTGAGAGAAAATAGAATAGTTATATAGTACATACAAATACAATAAGGCACACTGGCCAAAAACAAGTAGGGATAGCCTACCTCCCCCAGATGGTCCAGAAATCGTGTAGACTTTCGCAGGAAGTCCTCATCCACATGTGGGTCGATCTCTTTGACTGCGTCCACGTAGCCTGGCCACCTCAGTACAGGACACTTCGGGCTGCACTTCGTCTGGCACCAGCTGGGCAGCCGCTTGATGATTTTTGCGCACAGTTTGGGCATCTGGCGTTGGTGCTGTGCAAGTTGTAAATGGACATCTATAAATGGTTAATAATTGTAAATATTGTCAATGCATTGTCCTGTATAACCTTGTAAACTCTCAATATACAATCTGCTACACTATCATTACCGCACTTACCTCTAACATGGCCTTCTTCATCTTAGCCAGCAGCTTCTTAAGTCGGTCCATCTCAGGTGTTCGCGTCTTCTTACAGTTCATCAGGAAGACTTCGTCTGAGATACGGAGGAGATCTTTGAACTCCTCTTTCATCAACTGCAGGAGGTAAGCTGCTTGGCGCTGTCCTGGAAGGCATAAGCAAAGCGAAACATAGATGAGAATTTTAGTTAACTTCACGCGGATCATGGCATGGCATGACCATCAATATGTCTACAAATGCCATTAGGCTAAATCCTGTACAGGTTTGTGCATTTAGCATACTGTATACATAGCACTGCATATTGCATAATGTATTAGTAAAGTATCACATTGCTTTGCTTCGTTCACTTATAACATGAAGTTGGATATGCAGTCTTGTATACTCACCACTTGTGGGCGACACTTTGTCGGCATGGCTGGCCACTAAGATGACGTCACGCTGCCGGTTTGGGTTGCAGGATTTGATGAAACTCAGCCACCGGTGGACCTGGAGCAAAACATTCAACAGCTAATTTACATGGTTGCCTAGACCTGCTCTGAAGAAATGATATGAGAACATCGTAAAAACATCCCATTAAACTGGCCTTGAAGTTCAACATTAATTACGTCGATGAAGGTTAGACATCCAGGTAATAAGATACGCCAAAAAGCAGTTACTCAAGCAACTGGATATGATTTTGGAACGTCAGACGTTGCACTTGGGATTTGGCACTCCCAGCCCCGAGGACATACAACACTTAAGCTCCTGTTCTGCATTCTACCTAATTTGCATTATATTGTCTTGAATTGTCTGACTTTTGTTCCTTTTTCTACTTCCAAAAAAATTGTCTTCATGCTATTTACATATCAATCAATAGTTTGTACATATAAACCTGCTTTTCTGCAGTCTTCCAGTCTGTCACTGACGAAAGCTGGTGGATACTAGCTGAAACGTCTGACGTTCCAAAATCTTATCCAGTTGCTTGAGTAACTGCTTTTTGGTTCAACATTAATTCCATATCATATCGTACAATTAACAATTGTGTTTGGTCATTTATGCAGATTACAGTTTAATTCTGAAGTGCTGTTTACGTCTTGTTCTTTGGTGTCGTCCATGATGTTGTACAGCACAATGGAGATGGTGTTCTCTGCATCCATGAACATACTGTGGGTTACCGCGTACTCCGACTGACCAGCAAAATCCCAAAGGCTGACCTCCCCCACCCCTGGAATATGGAACGTCCAAACATCCACCCCTGGGGTGGGGTCGTGAAGCTCCTCGGCTGACGACGATTTTCTCAGTCCTTGGAGCAGTGCTGGCACGGTGCCCTGTTGGAAAGGAGTTACCTAATTACTCTTTAATGAAATTTGCGATCTATTAGTCTGAGAAATCTACAATTCATCATAATAATTTTTCTCTTGAAACGAGATCGGTAGGATTTATGGAAGAAGCAAAGTTCGTACATACCCTTTGAAAACTTATCTTGAGTGTGGACTTTCCCGCTTTCTCCATCCCAAACAAGGACACCTTACACCTGTCGGTCTTCACTCCGCCAGACTTCTGCAGCAACTCGCTGTACAACTTTTCTTTGATCACTTCCTTTTCCCGATTCTGGTAGGAGGTAGAAAAACCAAAGAGAGCGTAAGTTCATAATAAGCGGCCATTTTGAACAACAGGTTTGAGAAATAATACGGAAATATTTTCAACACATCTACTCATAAGTTTTCTTTGCCAGCACCAGCCTATCGTGATTAACCCAAAACTAAAGACACTCATCCAGTCATAGATCCGTGAGAATATTGTTCACCTTCAGGACACGAAGAGTCTCCTTGTTGCGCTCTGCATCAGAAGGTGCCCGTCCGTCCTGTACAGGGAGACATCAGAAATGTGTCATTCTCCATGTGTAGCCTAGCAATGTCTTAGGATGCTTTATCAAGTATTAGTGCGACTTTTGAACGGCTGATATTGTAAGTTATACTCTAAATCATATATATTAAAACATTAACATCATGTGCATATATTGTTATACATTATGCAAATAAGCATCTAATTTGCATAATTAATTCCATTTTCCGTGACTGATCATCACCACATACAAGCATCCCTCCTGAGCACTCTATGTACCACCTGGTATTGCATCAGAGAAAATCGGCGAGAGATGTGGTGTGCGACTGTATAACCATCATTAGGCTGTCTCACACTAATGTCTTGTGGCATCCAAACCATGTACAGTACACACCATGTAATATGATTTGCATGGCATTTGTCTCACAAAGCTGCTAAAATGAAGCTTGTATTTATCAACTCCTGTACTGCCGTGGGGCGTGTTCTGTATCTGTATCGGTATAGCCGGTACAACCGCCCTTCGGTGTAACACTGACCAGCTTCTGTATCTGTATAGCCGGTATGGCCGGTATAACCGCTCTTCGGCGCGTAACACACCAGCTTCCGTGTTCATGACTGTTTCCGACAAAAGTGTGTACGCATGTAGTAAATACATTATTTTCAACGTCATAAACATCCAGATAATCTATAGGGTCCTTTTTAAGACAAATGTGTATTACCTTATTCCTGGCCGTCACGTCTGCCCCATGACGAATCAGAATCTCACAAGTCCTGGTGTGGCCCCAGACAGCAGCCAGATGCAAAGGTGTGTTCTGGTCCTGTACAGGGAGGAAGGTCAGGGTCAGTAGGGATGGGTTCAACACGGACAACACTTATCACGTGGGTAAGGAGCAGTATGAGCTACATGTCAAGTTGCGTATACGTGTATCAGCAAAAGTTCCTGAAACCCCTGATATGGATCCGTCATACTTGATCACTCACTCACTCACTCAGGTCCGCATGCTCCTAGAAGCGTAGCGCCCCGGCAAACTGTCCTCCAAGCACTTCTGTTCTGCGCCGCTGCCCAGGCTGTAGTTAGGTTGTAGCCCGCTGCTCTCAGGTCTGATGACAGGACATCCAGCCACTTCTGTCTGGGCCTGCCCCTGGGTCGGGTCCAGTTAGTAGGAGTGGGTTCCAGCAGTAGTCTGGCTGGTTCTGAGGGCGGAGATGATCTGGCGAGGTGGCCGAAGAGTCGGAGGCGGGCAGCTCGAATCTTCTGGGAGACTGGAGGCTGGTTTGTTGACCGGCGTAGGGCGATGTTGGTAACACGGTCATACCACCTAATCCCCAGAATCCTGCGCAAACATTTGGCATCGAAAGCATCTAAGTGCCGCTCCTGTGTGGACGTCAGAGTCCATGCTTCAGCACCATACAACAGGATGGAGAGGACTAGGCTGTTGTAGAGCCTGAGCTTGGTATGCACTGACAGCCGTCTGTCGGACCAGATCTTACTGAGGTTGGCCATCGCTGTGGCGGCCCGGGCAACACGGATCCTGATATCAGCCGAGCTTTTGATCAGGTATACTGTATATGATATTGATCTTATGCCACATTCATGCCTGTTTCCTGTATTATCACCTTAGAATTTCTCTATTTATGTTGTACCTAATGAGTACCTAATCATCTCCTGTTTGTATCATTGTATGTGTCTCTGTTCCACATTCATATCTCTATCACCTATTTATCTAATCTGTAGGGCAAGTTGCAACAAGTGTGTATTACCTTATCCCTGGCCGTCACGTCTGCCCCATGACGAATCAGAAGCTCACAAGTCCCGGTGTGCCCCCCCTCAGCAGCCCCATGCAAAGGTGTGTCCTGGAACTGTACAGGGGGAAGGTCAGGGTCAGTAGGGATGGGTTCAACACGGACAACAGTTATCACGTGGGTAAGAAGCATTTTATGTAAGATTTAGGTAAAGTTCTTTCAATCAACAAAAGGTTCTTAAAAGTTCTGTTATAGACCCACCATACCAAATACATGTAATAAACTGAATACCTAACAAGAAGCCATAGGTGACAATTCTCCGTGAACTTTTATATATTGCAACAAAATTAAAAATAATCTCAAGCGTCAACGCCAGACCTACTGTGCAGACATTAGGCAACGGTTAATACAATGAGCGCCCGGCACAACCATAAAACATAAAAAGACCTAAATCCATTACTGCTCCAAGGTCGTGTGCTTCAAGTTCGAAGTTCATTTTAATTACACACACACACAATCATTGCATTCACATAAAGATCTGACTATCATGGCCGCGTCAGTAGTAACAAAGACAGCCCCACCGTCTTACCGTGCCTGTTTCTTATAAGCGCGACTGGCCAGGTCAAGCACCGCGAGTGTTACTAGTACTACCGCCGGTTAGATAGATACCCGGGCGAAAACATATCACCGACACCATAGGGATGTTTCAAAAATACGCATTAACATCAGTATTAAAACTGCTAGGGTGAAAATAAAAAGACGTGCATCACCACGGACATAGTGGCACACCACATGCCAAATTACACAGTAATAGCACGTACAGAACAATGCGTTTTTACTATCCACATGTTCTACAAACGGCCCCATTCCTAAAGCATGGGGAAAAACATCTGGTACCACTTATCGAACCCTCCGCGTATCTGCTTAAAGTTTGTTCTCCCCCCGCTATTCCAAACAACGCGTTTTTCTGGACCATTTCAATTTGCCTCATAATTGTAGGGGTGCGTTTGCAATATCACATTGACCGCGAAAACAGCAACGTCGAAAATACACCTTCTTGCATCAACGCGGACATGCCCGCAGACGGCGTATAAAATTGCATGCCGACTACACAAAGAGAACCCCGTGTTATAGCCGCAAACACGAAAATCCAGCCCTTCACAACATTCCGCCAGGAGGTCCTGACCTCCTTCACGGAGTAATTATGTATACTGCTTATTGTATCGATTCCATGCCGCATATACTGTGGGCTAGTTTTTGTATTATACCTTAGGTTTGTTTATTCATGCTGTACCTACTGCGTATGTTTGCATTATTGTCTCTATCTCTGTACCACATCCATGTAATCTGTAGGGTCCATGTGAAACAAGTGTGTATTACCTTATTCCTGGCCGTCACGTCTGCCCCATGACGAATCAGAAGCTCACAAGTCCCGGTGTGGCCCCCAGTAGCAGCCCGATGCAAAGGTGTGAACTGGTACTGTACAGGGAGGAAGGTCAGGGTCAGTAGGGTTGGGTTCAACACGGACAACAGTTATCACGTGGGTAAGAAGCATTTTATGTAAGATTTAGGTAAAGTTCTTTCAATCAACAAAGGGTTCTTAAAAGTTCTGTTATAGACCCACCATACCAAATACATGTAATAAACTGAATACCTAATTATGTATACTGCTTATTGTATCGATTCCATGCCACATATACTGTGGGCTAGTTTTTGTATTATACCTTAGGTTTGTTTATTCATGCTGTACCTCCTGCGTATGTTTGCATTATTGTCTCTATCTCTGTACCACATCCATGTAATCTGTAGGGTCCATGTGAAACAAGTGTGTATTACCTTATTCCTGGCCGTCACGTCTGCCCCATGACGGATCAGAAGCTCACAAGTCCCGGTGTGGCCCCCAGCAGCAGCCCATTGCAAAGGTGTGCGCTGGATCTGTACAGGGAGGCAGGTCAGGGTCAGTAGGGATGGGAAGTGACGTACACGTACATTTCCGCTCATCAACTTCCGGTGGGGTTTACGCGTTGATAGAGGCTAATGTATGCGTAAGATTTGTGCATGTTCAGGTTGGTTCGATATTTCAGCAACACAACTGCTCCTGACTTCACGTTCCCGCCAGACTCGCCATGTAATGTATAACTTTGGTATAATCTGAATCTTATTTTTTCAGCCAGTATAACCACCGTTCAGCGTAACAAACAGCTTAGCAAGCACGCCGCTAGCTACGTCACAGCGAGTGAGGTATAATATAATATAATATAATATAATATAATATAATATAATATAATGTACATTTGTGCAACTTAACTCACTTGTTACATTGAAGTTTGTATTTACCGACTATTGGTGCAGAGATGGGCATGTTTAGAACTGTTCACATCCATGTAATTTGTTCTTTTCAAACAACTGCTTATTACCGCACTGGCCGTCACGTCTGCCCCATGACGAATCAGAAGCTCACAAGTCCCGGTGTGGCCCCCGTCAGCAGCCCGATGCAAGGGTGTGTACTGGTACTGTACAGGGGGGAAGGTCAGGGTCAGTAGGGATGGGTTCAACACGGACAACAGTTATCACATGGGTAAGAAGCAGTATGAGGTGAAGTTCCGTGGATCACTAACAGGTTCCTAGGATCTCCGGCTACGATCCCGCTATATCGTGACGCGGGTGCCAACTTTCGTTCTATTTCAGTGAAAAAAACAACAAAAGGGAGTGATATGTGGCGCTGTACTGAAGTTAAATCCCTACTTACAGCACTAAAAAGAAACGAGTGAAGTAATGAAATAAGTATGGAAGGAACAAACCTACGCACAGGTCGACTATTGACTGGATCGATGTTGATTAAACCCAAGTAACGTAGGATAAATCAAGGTAACGAGTGTAGAGCGAGAAGGGATCCATACTATAGATAACTACAGTACTACCACCTCACATGTGTAACAGAAGAATGGATAGTCGGCTGAAATCTCTCCGTGTCTCTTGATTCAAAACCTCTGAGTCAAAAACTAGACGGACTGAATCGCACTCCTAGCTATATAGCGGCCCGTCCGAGTGACCGGCTCCCGCCCCTGGCATCAAGAACTTGTATAACAGGCGTAGGCTGAATCAGAAGCATAGTTTGAAATCCAGTTTCGAGGGTACCACAAGGGATAACTCATGTCATTGTTTAGTCCCGTGTCCTTATACGACCTTCCAAATGGCTTTTCCTCTTAAATTTACACCGCGCACAACTAGTGTTGTTATCTAGAGAACATTTTCTGACCCAGACTGAGTGGGGAAACTTGACACGGGAACCACGAGTCACCCTGTCAGGGTTCAGGTCAGGAGAAGTCAGGACTGAGTTATTTCTACTTACCTTGTCCCGCGCCTCCAAGTCTGCGCCGTGTTCGATCAGCAATGCGGCCACTTCAGTCTGCCCGTGCTCGCTGGCCACATGCAGGGATGTCTGCTTTCGCTGGATAGAACAACAGTTGGGACAATAACCGGTTACAAAACGACTGTATAGGCCGTGCATTTTTTAGTTACTCAAAATGACATATCCCGACAGTTTTTTTACCGAAAGAAATATATCCAGAATGATATCTAGTTCTGTCCACCGCTTTATCAGAGCAATTTCACACCTTTAGTTCGGTTGTCAAAACGGTTTGCAACAGTTTCTGATCATCTAAGCAACGGGTTTTCATCATGTTCTGGTTTCTTTCAACATTTAAATAACGTAATAATACAGTGAACAGTGGTGCCGAACCCAAGCTATATGGCTTACTAGTATATCAACGACAAATGTTATACATCTGACATGTAATAAGAAATAACATGCAACAGTAAGGTACACGAAATGCCTGATACAGATTCAGAGGTGAAAAAATGAAACAACAGTAAAAAGGTTGGACTACGAGTCTGTAACATTGCATGAACTAACAGTTTGCTTACCCAGTCCCAGTACCTCTTGACCCTGAGGTCCACCCCAGCGTCCAGCTCCCTCCTCACAGTCTGCACGTCACCTTTCTCCACAGCCGTGAAGAACGTGCGCAGGTCCATCTCCTCACTACCTGCTGGGGAGACATGGAACAAATTAGGCTTTGAACAACGCATTGAACAAAAAAAGTATTTATCAAAGGTGCACACATCAGAATTTTTTAAAAATAAGTTTATTTTTGTAATCGCCAAGCAGATCATATAGTAGTAAGGCAGTGTCCATTGGCCAGAGGAGTGTCCATTGGCCGTAACTCCTCTGGCTAATGGATACTGTCTTGCCACCGAAAGGAATCCGCTTGAAGATTAGATTTTTCTTTGCTGGTGCAAATTCCTAACATTGTTTCCAGCTGTATTGGTTCTGTATACAATGTGTATTGACATGGCAATAGTACAGGTCTAGAGTTTTTGTGAGGTCTTCTACACAGCGAATAGAAGAAAATCTAGTATAAAGTTGCAAGTATTCTATATCTATCAGGTGCGTACTTTTGGGCCTAAAATAAGAATTTGTTCGATAGGATAAAATGTATTCGTTCTTTTTTTTTGAGCGAAAATAAGAAAGGTTTTGGGGTTATCATCCTATTTCATCTGGCGGATTTTCAATTTATCAGGCTGGCGTCCGGTCATTCTTAATCTCCAAGCAGATCCTAGGGGGCAAAGGACAGTTTCAAAAGAATATCGAATTGGCCAGGCAGTATCAAATTGGTCAGAGATGGGTCCAATAAGCCACCCAAGGAACTGCAGAAAGTCTCAAGCATCAATGCATCATAAACCTAATCACTCAACACATGACAGTAGTTCTAAAAGTACATGCGAACTGCGATGCCCTTGGGTGGCGTCTTGGATCCTCTCTGGCGAATGGATACTGCCTGCCTTTTGCCTTCCCAATTTGATACTGTCTTTTACCTCCCTAGGATCTGCTTGGAGATGAAGCCGTGCAGACATGTCAACACAGACTGGCGGGTAAACATGATCAGGTCGCACCTTTGGACCGGCTGCCTTATCAACAGCGCCATTTGCCGTGTGTTTGTTAATTACATTATTTTTACATAAAGGTTGCCCATAACTAACTACTTTACTTTAATTACAACAAAGTTTCAACGTATTATTTAACACCATAGAGGCAGAAAATGTCATACTTCTTACCTTAGTGAAGTAAAATCCAAACTTCTCTGTTTTTAGGAACGTGGATTTGCAACCATGTAGTTTTGCTACCCAACGTTAGATATTTATCTGACAATTGCAAAGTACAACTTTAATAAAAGATTGATTATAGTACAATACAAACTCACATTGAAGGTATTAAATATGTGAGCGCCTCTAGCTCTATTTGATCGCTAAACCTCATGTCCGTCAATGCAATCATGTCTTTAATGGTTTATTACAATTCTGTTTAATGAGTAGGGGTGGGGGTGGCGCACTATGTTGTTTATTATGTAAATTCTGTCAATTTTGTTTTGTTTCTTTGTACGCGGGGTTGCTAGAATAAGGTTTTTCAAAACTTGAGTGCAACGCCACAATGTCCGAATGTTAAGTATAGAAAAAAGTCAGGTATGTATACATGTGTTTGTACCACTTATAAATAGGTTAAGTAAAGTAAGTATACATGGGTTATCAACATTAATGTGACCAAGACATGTAAACTCGTATTCTACTGATATTTAGCACCATACCTGCAGTCCTAATTGATCAGACAGCCGTTCTGGAGTCCCCGTTGTCCGGTTTATGTCCTGTTGTGGTTGTTTATCCGCTAACCCGGACCAGAAGACCGGACAGACCCGCAGCCCAACATGGCGACCGCCGCCACATCACGAGACACAAACAGGTGCGCCGGTTTGGAGACTTTGAACTTTTATCACCAGACGTGTGTTTGTCGTCCCCCTGGTTAGTAAACTACGTCAGGGAGTTTGGCGGGAATTTCAAACGCTCAGAATCCGTCTGGGGCAAAGTAACGGAAGATCAGGTACTAGCCTGCCTACCTACCTGCCTATATGCACAGGCCAAGTACTGGTCCCTTGCTCCCCTCCGTCAGGTACTTCCAGCCAGCTGTATCAAGGGCTATAGTCTCTACTTCATTCAGGGTAAGAGTACTAGTTAAAAACTAAAAAATAAGTTTCTGGCTCATTTTGCAACGCCACGCCTAGACGGGAATATCAAAACGCTCAAAGTCCGTCTGGCGCAATTTTGCCGCGCAAAGTAACGGGACAACTAGTTGACAACTAAAAATAAGTTTCTGGTTCTTTCTGCAACTTTACGCCAAGATGAAACGCTGCTCTTAATGGTACTTTTCCATATCTCTGACTCAACAGGCCTTCGTTATGAAGCAGGTGAGCCAGTTTGGGGACTTCGAACTTTTATTACCATACGTGTGTTTGTCGTCTGCTTGGTTAGTAAACTACGTCAGGGAGTTTGGCGCGAATATCAAAACGCTCGGAGTCCGTCTGGCTGGTTCGTTCTGCAACTTTACACCAAGACGTAACGCTGCTCTTAATGGTACTTTCCATTTCCTTGACTCAATATACCTTCCTTATGGCAATTATTGCCAATTGAACAAACTACAAAACATTGTAGTCACTTCTCTTGTGCAATAAAAAAACTGCTAACCGTACTGCAGCTGATTTGCAAAATTAAGAAAATGTCGCTATATTTGACTAATTTGTAGATCCGGAAAATGCCAAGGGAAAATCTACACGTACTTCTAGTATTTTGTCTCGTCCAGTTAAGGCGTTTAATTGTTTCGCTGCAGTTCTGGTAATTATTTAATTGCCATTGAATTTATTTGGCGCAAGTGTTTCATCGCAAAATATTGTCAAACATGTGTTTATCAAAATCAAACTAACAAGGATGTCATTCAGGAAAGGTCTCTACAGAGTCCAGTAGACAATGGATCTTCAACTTGCGCCTTCAGTTGATTTTGTATGGTGTTATACATTGTCTAACAGTGAGCACTAATGAATACACATGGCACTCATGTAATAAAATGATAGCCTTTATTCAAGACGGTCCAGTGCAAAAGTGCACAGTGTCTCCTAATGTTGAACATTCGCAATATTGCACCTTAAAATTTACTGCTTCCAATATTGCACCTTAAAATTCATTGCTGACATCGAAAATTTTAGATACATTTTGAGGAATAGAAAAATAGTTGGCCCTTCGATTCCACACGAACGCGAGATTCCACCCCTTTATTGCACATGGAACAGTCCGATGCTGAGAAATGCATGCCCAGATTTCTACAGCATTGATGTCCTTCAATACAATTTACTTGGGCCAGAAATTTTACATGGTAATTCCATCTTCCAAATTACGAGTATGTACAGTCAATATGCGCCCAAAAGCAGTTACTCAATCAATACGATTTTGGAATCATATCCAGTTGCTTGAGTAACTTTTTTTAACCTTTTGGCGTATCTTATTACCTGGATGTCTAACCTTCATCGACACAGTCAATATGAATACTATTTATAATCTTATACTCTACATTGCACTCTGAAATAAATGACCGACGGAAGTAATGCTAACTACGAACATTATTCGCATGATGTCATTTCACTGTGTCATTCCTGTATTTCTGTAAAGATAATTTTTACATCCAATCAGCCCCAAAATGCCAGGAGGTTGATTCCGTCCTTTGTGAGCAACAAATTTACCTGACAGCAAAACAGCAGATTGCAGAAGACTTCTATACAATGTAAGCAATAATGTTATAGATGATAAGCATTTTGTGTTGGTAACACGTCCCATTGTCTATGGGGATATACCTGAATCAAATCATGTAAATCTTGTGAGCAAGTTTAGCTTACTGTATTGCTATCTACCTATTTACAGCAGTGTATCTATGTCACAACAAGAAAGTAATTATGCCCATTCTGCTGACTGTACCGCTGTCACAAGCTAGCTAGTGAAACATAATTTTCCGAAAGGAGTCGGTTACGTAGTGTCCTGATATTCAGATATTAACAAGGATCTGAAAAACAAACATCACGTGTACATGTCGGTATGTCTACGACATATGTGACGAAAAATGCAACTGTCAATTACAAGCAAGTATAGGAGGTTCCGATCTTTAAGGCTAAGTTCACTGCATCATTTCCGCCACCTCTTCGAAGCTTCCAGGACGACCTAGATCACTTGACGCGCGTCTCTTCCCTTCATCAGTTCCCACGGCGTCCCAGCTGGTCTTCCCTGTCCTGTAGCTCATCGGTGCGCTGCGTGTCTTCTTCCTCCGCCTCCTCTAGTCCTGTGTGTACGCCAGCCAGTAGGTCCTCTCCTGCTGGCCCAGCAGTGACGGTGTCTGCGGCAGCTCGTTCTTCACGTGTTTGGACACGTAGTCGTGAAGGACGTTAAGACTCACCGCTCCTAAACCTGTGGCCTGCCCGCGGAAGGACAGGCAGTGGTGACAGTTAGCTGCTTCACAGCTGTTGCCGCCCTGCAGGCCGCTGATGATGTACTTGGTGAACACACTGTACTTGTCCTTCTTCC